TTACTTACTTATTAGATATGATGGCGCTGAGAAACAAATATGATTTCGAAAATTCTTCCATTACTTTTACAACCGTATAAATAATGACGTATATTATTTCTTTCTTGCAGATTAAATATCTCTCATCACATAAACAAATTACAATAGTCAAATCCGACGTAATACCTACTAATGTTTTCTCATAACCTCCCAACAATGGTCGCGTGACAATATTAGCCCAAGTAGGTACTACTATACAAAAGAAAGTTGCAATGATGACCTAGAACGATAAAGTATTATTTTTAATATTATTCGTCTTACTTTGTTCCGGGTTGTTTAGTAAACATGCGGCTTTTCATAAGTTACCTTAATTACTTCCAGCCCGGTCGGCAGCTAATGCATACAAGGTTAATTTGTGCAGCAACATTACGGCGGTCCAAGGAAACTCATTATTAGTAATATCATAAAAATGTGTCATTAGAATACTAATGAATATTGTTATGAAAAGTCTGATAACGTGTGTTTTTTCTTTTCCCTGACCAAAATTTTCTTTGCTGTACTTTTGCATTGTATATTATTACATCACTTATTTATGTTCAAAAAAAGAATGTACAAGTTTCTGTATATTAACTAGAATCGCGGGTTACTCACGTGAATTTACTGAGAATAGCTCTACTAGTTTCGAACCACAGAGGGGTTCTTCATCATGAGCAGCGTGTGCGGTCTCGGCGACGTCGCGCAGCTCACTAGTAGAGCTTTTCTCAGTATATTCACGTGAGTAACCCGATTTTAGTTTATTTAGTACTAGCGACCCGCCCCGGCTTCGCACGGGTGCAATATGCATATATTATACATACAAACCTTCCCTAAAAATCACTCTATCTATTAAAAAAAACCGCATCAAAATCCGTTGCGTAGTTTTAAAGATCTAAGCATACATACGGACATACAGCGAAAGCGACTTTGTTTTATACTATGTATTGATGATGTCTCACGATAGTTATTATGAAAACACAGTTTCTGTATACTTTATGTATGCTTTATGTAAGTATTGTATTAGGTATGTAGTTTGTATGAGAATTAAAAGCTGATGTATTAAGAAAAGGACAATGGACATTAACAAATTATTGAAAATATAAACATATTTTAGGGCAGAATTATTTTTATTTACAAGGCATGTACGGTAGACATACCCATTTAACCTCACTACGGTATACATAGATACATACTAGTCTTTATTAGGTCAAATATCCCGCACCCAGTGACACAATAAATGCCATCTGCTTCCAAAAATATTTCCTTTTTCACTAGAAACCCTATAATATCAGAGAAAGCTATTTCTTTAATAAGCCCCATTGTTTGTCTTTTGGCGAGTATTAGTTGAGTGTAATGCTCTAGTGTCAACGACTAACAGGGCTAATCTCGACTAAATGGTATTGAGTTTTTGTCCAATTAAGTATAGGTTAATTTGGCAATACTCTCACCGCATATTACATGGGACTCATAACATAAATAGTGAAAAATGGGTATTACATTGTACAGTGGCATTAAGTATCGTAATGTACCCCTTCGGAGATTAAAGGCATGATGTTATGTTATGCAAGTATACCATAGATACTATATCTATAGTCATATTGAAAAAGTTTTATTTAATCAGATCATATCTGCTTTCTCGTATGAGACTTCTAAATAGATTTCGATAGACAATGAATCTTCAAAACAGACAAATACAAGATGTAATCATCTACAGCCTATACATGCCACATGCCCACTGCTGAGCAAAGCCTCTTCTCACACGGAGAAGGTTTGATCATTTATCACCACGCTTGCTCAATGCGGGGTGGATCGTTGGGGATTCAGGAATTGGGGAGATTGGGGAAGGGGAGGGTAATTGAGCCTCCGGTAACCTCACTCACACGACGAAACACAACTGTTTTCTGTGGGGCCGTGGTATCACTCCGGTCGAGCCGGCCCATTCGTGACTTGATTTCAAACTCATAATTAGAAATTATAAGTCCAGATTTCCTTACTACGTTTTCCTTCACCGGTTGTCAGTGGTCTAGATGTAATGACTATCACATAAGGATAAAACTTGTCTACATAGGTAACTTTATTTTGAACACCACAAGAAGAGAGGTGTCTGATTGTGACTTCATAGCACCTTCGGATGACCCTATTTCCGTCTACAGTATTCTATAGGTAACAGTTTTATTTTGTTTGAAAGGTGACTTAATCGATATTGGTATCTGAGCGTTTTAACTAAAAATATATTTTACTATTTGAACACCATCAGCTTTTTATTTAGTTGATGGGTTCAAGAAACTTCAACAGATTTATAAATTCGATATGTCCACATTGACAATTTCTACACATGTAACACTGTAGTAATACAATATCGTAACATCCTGAAACCGTGAAGTAATGCTTCCACATAAACCTACTTAAAAATGCGAATATTTGTGTGTATGTATGTGTGTGTGTTTGTTACCCTTTCACGCCAAAACGGCTGAAAGGATGGAGATGAAATTTGGAACAGGGGTAGATTTTGGTCTGGAATAGCACATAGGGTACTTTTTACCCCACAGGAACGCGAGGGCAACCGTAAGCAGAAGCAAGTATAGCTACTTACATATAGCTGCAGATACACACAAAATATAAATACATAACTGTATAATCGCAAGCACTTGTTATTCGTGAATTGCATCGTCCACAAATAGGCTTACCTTACCTCCTGTATTGACCATAATCCATTCATGCAACGTAACTGCTTACCTTCGTCTGTAATTAGATTACAGCTCCGCGAGGCACTCGTTGTGTTGTAATATGAATTGACAGTATCGAAATACTTATTAATAAATACGAAAAACCATCCAACCAGACATTATCCATGTGTCCGTAGTCTTTTCCCAAAAGAAAAGCTAAAGGGGTTACAAGTGTTTCAAAAAACATGAATATTTTACAAAGCGAAGACCTAACTTTAAAGGAATTCATGGGCACATAGATTTTTTCTAAACGTACATACACCTAAAGATGCCAATGCCAACAACTACAAAAATAAATAATAATCTGAAACAGCCAACCAATTACATTCGGCAAGGCTTTCAAAGAAAGCCAATAAAAATGTTGTCGCAAGATATGAACAGGATATTTGTCTAATTAATTACTAAGAACATGTGCCAGCCACACCGACACTGCACAGATACAGATACTTCACACTAACCAATTACTGGAGATTAGATCCATTATGGGGATTAAAACAGTTGAATCTACGACTAGCTACTTCGGCGGTTTCACTCGCTCAGCTCACCGCATTTTGATCGTAGCGTGCTGTTTTATAGCCTATCTTCCTTGATAAAAGGACTATCCACCACAAAAATTATTTTGTAATTTGATCAGTAGTTCCCGAGATAAAAGCGTTCAAACAAACTCTTCAGCTTCATAAAAAAAATATTTAATACTTGATCTAAGTTATAAAGGTGTTCGCAATTCATTTTAACTACATCTTCTTACTTTCAAGTCATCAGTTTCGTAGATCATAGTATAGGTTTTATAGTAACCTTATCTTCATCGGCGTTGCTGGTGAAATATGAGCCTTTTTTAGATAAGAAGGAACTTCTATAATTGCAGGCGGGAGACAATATTGGTCGGCAAGTTCGAGATCAGCTTAAAAATATAATGTATGAAATTAAAAGTAAAAATTAAAAAAGTTCAGGTTTAATAAAGAACGTTGCTGCGCAGTCTTGGTTTAACGTAGTCTCTCAGCCGGTTCTTATTAAACATGAAAGTGTGAGGATATGATGACTTTACTCTGCTATGAATTGCATTTTTAAGGGTTCATGAATACCTACTTAACTTAGATACATTTATTCACTACTTAATTTCCCTATTACTGAACTTGGAACTTGCACACTGGATTAATTATTCCGAACACGTGAGCGTCTTTTAAGGTTTCTTCGGCAGGTGCTACTTCTGCTCAGACATAAGGAAGTATACGAAAATACAATGAAATTATATCGCATAAAAATTCTCGTTGTAGTATACATATAAACTAGCTGTTGCCCGCAACTTCGTCCGCGAAGAAAATGAATTTTAGAACTTAACTTTTTTATTTCAATTTTGCACTATGATACTCATTAGTACATCAGCTACCTGCCAATAAAAGTCTTGCATCGGTCCAACCATTCCAGAGATTCGCCAGTACAAACAGACAGACGGACAAAATTGTAACAAAATATTTTGGTGTGTGTATGGTAAGAAGTATATTCATTTGCTCGTAGTAGTTTTAATATTTCAAACAGACAGTCTCATTTTATTCATCTGTATAGATGTACCTCTATAGAGTAGGTATACTGGTATACTGGTGGTATACTGGTAACTTTTTGTTTGTATACCTGGTGAAATATCGCTAGTTAGGCACATTTAATGGCATCTTATGAGTGAATGAGTTATATTGCCCCCGAACCTAGGGTATGTATGAACAGTCGGGGAATTAAAATCTCTCTGTTTAGAAAACGTTACCCCACACTTTCTCCTTTCCTCCTCTCCTGAGCCGTGAATGCATTTACAAACATACAATTTCACATACACATGACACCTAGGTCTGAAACAGCAATTTGCGAATGACACTTTAGGGAACAGGGAGTATAGTTCCCTAAGATCGGAAAAAGAAGATCCTCCGACCAGGCGAGGTGATCGTGTCTGGCGGGCTTTCTGCCCAACAGTTGTTCGTTGGGATTTTCTATACGTGTTAATTCGCATGTAAACTTTGTGCGATGTAGGATTTTTGTAACGTCATCCCTTGATATGTACCATGTGTCGCCACAAAACAAAGACGGCCGTGCGGAAATTCAGCCGGCTACACGTTGCCCACGCCGCGCCGGTTGCCCTGCCGTCGCGCAACCGTGCATTCAAATCGTAATGTTTATGTTATTATGTGGGTACTACGGGACTCAGTGCTTACTTTATGCAAAGTTAGGTATATAATATATTTAGGTGACTAATTTGTCGTACCTTTTTTTCAGCCAGATCCTGTACATGGACCAGCATGTATACGATATTCCAAAAAGCTACAACAGAAACATTCCACCCGGTAAGTTCTTTCTATTACCTAGTTTGTAAAACTAGTACCTAATAATTAACAGATTTCTCGTTTCACATTTACCTACCTTAATCTTAAACCTTCAAAAATGAAAAATAGCCATATTAGGTACAAGTTTTTAACCTTTGTTCAATGACGAACTATTTTTAAAAACACTTAAATTAGATTTTGGGCAGGTCATATTTTTATAAAGTCACGCGTAGATACGGTCGCAGCGTGGCCCTCGGCTCGGCTATCCACTTAGCACCGGACATTATTCAGCACAACCACGCCAGTTGCCGGCGCTGCCGCATAACCAATCATTAGTCAAGCCGTAGGTGATTGTCGTACGTCAACCATGTTACTAATTATAACCTTACCTCTTTATTACCTACCTAATTATTTACCCTACCTAATTATAACCTCCTTAAAAAGCATATAAAACCTCATTTCTGAACAAAAAACAACACAACAAAACGAAGCAAAACAACGACTGTTAATTCATTTCTCTAAATAATAACCAAATTAATTTTACACGCGCCTCCGGTTTTGACGAATAATTTACCGAATTGGAATAATTATCATATTTCAGCGACGAGACATTCTGTGTCTAAAACAAAAGTAGTAAAACTGAAATCCAGTAATCCTAATGGTTTTGCATCACGAACCTTCACGGACGTTCGTTTACCTGTAGATACCTACTAGCAAACTCTGGGTACCGATATCAAACGACCACGGTTCACTAAATCTAGGATGACTTGTAGTATATCGAAAGAAAGTAAAAAGCTACTTAGTTTTACCAGAACATCTTTATTTTCATAGTTTTTTTCCCTTTACTGGTTGGTCTCAGTGAAAGTTTTCATTATTCCTTTCACAAGATCTCAATAGCTAAAGTGACATGTTTATCACGCTGTTACAGTCAAAATATTTGGCAGCACTACTTGTGACAGAGTTCAAGGACCCGCCCAGGGTTAGGGTGACAGAATACTAATGCAGTAATGCACAATACAAACAATCCGATATAAACAATAAACAAATGATAATAACTCCGATATCAACCTAATCCATTTTGAAAAAAAAAATGAATAGGTAAATAACTAGGTACCAAAATAAGTAGGAAATTAAACTTAGATAAATAAAACGTCCATTCTGTGATTATCGTGTCGATTTAGAAAACAATATTTCATATAACTAAACCTCTCTTAAAGTAAATAATCAAACTTAAAGTATTATAAACAGTAGTTATTTGTATATTTCTTGTCTTCTTTCATATAAAAGTTTTCGTCCAAAGTCGAGGGCTGACTTACGTGAAGGCAGTAGCCTACTCGCTTAGCTAATATTGCGGTTTTCGGCCGTGATATCTCCGCTGCCGTACAACCATTGATTAGACGCTATTATACCCGAACAATGTGTCATTATTTTAAGGAATGTAATACATAAGTTTTCCATTGTTCGTTTTTCAGATAAAAACACGACAGTTTACGTTGGAGTAAATGTCAATCGGGTCTCTGGAGTTGATGAGAACAAAGAGGTAAATACATTCATAGACCTGGCTCCTGTAATATCTTCTATCATTAATCAATCAAAAAGCAAAGTCATACAAGACAGGGTTTTAAGCCACTCTACGTAATCTCATCCTCAGGAGATAACACTAGACGTGTTCCTGCAAGTGTCATGGGCAGACAGCAGGCTGCACGTGCCACCAAACATGCCCTTCATCGACCTGCCGTGGGAGTTCCGCGCCCTGATCTGGACACCAGACCTCTACATCTGGCAGCTCCAGACTATGCGAATACTCTCCGTCCTCCAGGAGATGGCGTCCCTGCGCCTTTACTCCAACCGCACCGTCTCAGTCAGTATTGGGTTCGTCCATCACTTTATATATTCTTTACTATCTACATTACTCTCTACAATATAAACAGACGTCAAATTATCTTCCAGACATCATCATAATAAATTCTCGCCTACAAAGATTTGTTTTTTTCGCCACCGTAGTTTATTTATAAATCGTATTTATACATTCATTTAACGCATGGCGGACAATAAATCGTAAATTGTAAACTTCATTAATTATATCTATTTTAATATATGTATCATACAGTACTTAAAGATAATGAAGCCAAGATGTTACATACATACATACATATTTTCTTCTTATTATTCAGCTAGAAGTAAGTTTTGATTGTGAACTTATGATTACAGTTAAGTCTTTAATAGGTACTTATTTATCATTGTTATTGAAAATGAGAGATGTTACTCAATTCTGTGTAGCTACAATGAGAAAAATCTGAAGTTTAAGTGATTCCTAATGAGTTGAGATTGGCCCTCTACTACCAACTAATTTACACCTATTTAATAAATTATAATATTATGATTTACGTTTACAGTGCGACAATAACAATCAAGTGCGAGATGGACTTTGTTCTCTATCCCTTGGACGTGCAGAACTGCGCCATCGACTTCAGCAGTTGTAAGTTTTTACTGATTTTAATACGTGTGTGTTTATCCCTGATGATAACTTTATTTTGACAATCATTTAAGGCCTTACAATATCTAGGAGGTATTGAAAAATATTCGGGTTATTGTTTCCTTGAAATGTGAAGAATGTTTAATTATATAAATCACTCGCAATTGTCCAGGTCAAATACCCAAAGTCCCACACCCAAACTATTAACGCAGTCTCAGTCTTTGAGAAACTCTGTGCGAAATGTTTCAGAATCGTAAAATGTGTTTTGATTTCTTAATGCTAGACAAAATTACATGTTTTGTCTACATGCCAGTTGTTCGACTTTGGATTCTTAAAAGTTTTTATAGATTGTCGAGTCTCCACTGAAATCGTTTACGATATCACTGTTAGACGTTTACAAGTTTACGATGATTAGGTAGACGTTGTTTAATGCCAGTATTTATTATTTCAGACAAATACACGACGCAAGACGTGCGCTTCGAGTGGCGCGAGGTCGCGCCGTGGCTGGGCATCGGCCCCGTGGGCAGCGAGCAGCGCAGCCAGTTCCGTCTGCCCAAATATGTGGTCACCTTCGTCACGGACAAAAGTAATCATATTCGCAATTTTGGTGAAGGTAAATGTATATTTATTGCTTTGCGCTTGTGTTTGCGCCTCGTAACTAACTATGTACCTATTAACGCTAACGTGCTGTTGCTATACGCTGGCATGTCGCCCGCACTGCTTGGCGCGGATGATCGCGGTCGCAATGGGTCGGTATTCAACAAGTATTATAAATGCTGAAACAGAACAACTGTACGTCTATAAAAAACTCTACTTAAGTTCATATTACTTAATATTATATGTGTATCTACATCCGTGCCTTGCAACATCTTAGTTTCTGTGACTGTGACGCACGATTTGAATTTTGATGTTGTACCTACATACCTATATATTATAAGTATCTATGTACCTTTGATGGCAATCATTAAAGACCATTTGATGAGAGCAGGATCACCACAGATAGTGAATTATAGCACTATGTTGACGCTTGCTCAGTGCTGAGGCCGCTGAGTAGAGCCACTGGTACTGAGAGCTAAGCGGTAAGTGTAGCCTATAGTACTAGATAGCACCTTGTAAGTAGGTGTTTCATAGTTGATAGTAAGTGTTCTAGACTTTAGGTAGGTAGTTAATAGAGCACTGACCACTAAACACGAGTATAAAACACTGCAATGTGGACGCTGAATTTGGTTTGATTGGTGGTGGTAGGGGAGCACTCGGCAGCGCGGCTACAGATCAAGTTGTCTCGGGAGCTGCGCAGCTATCTACTGGAGAGCTACCTGCCGTCCTCACTGTTCGTCATCATCTCGTGGGGCAGCTTCTGCGTCATCCCGGAGATAGTGCCCGGCCGCATGGTGCTGCTCGTCACCACACTGCTCTCTCTCGTCACCATGTTCGATACAGTCAGGTGAGCCTCCTTATTTAAAATAACTCAGGTTTAAGGAAAGTTATAATTAGATATATAATTGGTAAACATAACTACTTCACATTTTCACGTATTCATGAAAATATCAACCACTGTCAAAAAAGTAATCAGGTTTCATTACGGAGCCTAATTTCTCACCATACATTCCCCGCCCTCAATCTATAAACGCTAATTTTACACTTTAGTTGCGGCGAAATGCTACAACCGTAGTTACCGACCTACGCGCTACGCACTACGAGCTACGCGCTGCTTACTACGAACTATGCGCTACGAGCTATGGCTGTAGTATTTCGTCGCAACTCAAATGCAAAAACAGGGCTTACAGATTTAGGGCTGGGCATGTATGAATAGAAACTTGGATTATTACTACGTTACTAGTACAATTTTAGACGACATAAGTACCTACTAAATGAAAATATGGACATATTATCTTACATTTCAGCACAAATTCGCCAGACGCGCTTGAGCTGAAGTGTATCGAGGTGTGGTTAATATCGTGCACGATATTCGTGTTCCTGGCGCTCATGGAGTACTTTGTAGTGCTGTTCGGTATCCGTTACGACAAGAGTTGGAGTCGACGGCGAGCAGACCTGCGCCGAGCTGCATCCGCCGCGCAGCTTGCGCCGCCGCCTCTACACATCAACCACTCGCAGGTACGGTCCTATCTTCCCTGCCACTGTACAGTCATCCCACCACAATACATACCACCTAACAGCCCCGGTCTCTAGCGCACGCTTAGCACGGCGACACTAACGCGCCAGATTTGCCTTCACAGAGGCTGAGCACGCCGGTGACCGGCACGCCCCAGGGCGGGATGTTCTCGCCAACGTTGAGCGTCGAGGATGACGGCTTCAAGCAACAGATGGAACACCAAACCATTCAGAGGGTAAATACCACCAAGCCTGACCTCACCCAAACCATAGAATAAATACGTAACTTCCGAGTACCTCAGTGTAGCATTACACTGCATGTAAAATATTTAACATACCACGTATTATTTAGGTGCATTAATTTTTAAACTTAGGCCACCAATTTCTAGTCTCTCTCGGGAAGGAATTGGAGACAAAATAAGGTTGGATGTGAAACAAGATCAGTCAGCAAGGTAAAATATGAATTTAAAGCAACAACACTGCACAGTGTGGCTATCGTAAACTTTATATGCTGCAAATTACACAATAATGTAATCAAGTATAACCATAACTAGCTTAGACAGTATTTTCCTTGCAAATCTGATGTTAGTAAATATTAGCAGGCAAGCATACTTAGTGCATGCCAAAAGATTACAAACAAACCATTATTTTTGTAAAGTATTCGTGGTATTCTATTGGAGGTGGTATGACTTGTAGAGTACTTAGATATACAATTCGTCACTGCAGTACAGATAGGTACTTAGTTACTAGTTGCAGTAACTCGGCTAATTTGGACTAGTGAAGCAGTATCTTCCTACGTAAAAAAATTAGAAAAGGCAAAATAAACTCGCACTGCTTATAATCACTCTGTTATTGTGGTATGAATATTAGGGCTCTTGACGTATGAGTACTTAGAAATGGCTACAGTACCATAGTCTGTGTGTAGTCAGTGTTATTTTATTGGACAGCTATAAGATCGCGACTTAGATATTGTGAGAATGATTATTTTGTTATTTGTAGGACTCCCCGATACTGGAGTCGATGCCGTCGGGCGGCGGCGGGCCGAGCGGCGCGGTGGCGCGGCTGCGGCAGGCGGTGGACCGCGCCGTCATGTTCTGCGGCGCGCAGCACGGCGCGCTCGACAAGTTCGCGCTCATGGTGTTCCCTATGTGCTTCTGTCTATTTACCGTCATATACTGGACCACATACCTCAGTGAGGCGCACCGCGCCTCGCGGCTCAAGTGACCATACAAGTGACAAGTTCTCGCACGGTTACATCACCAACTTGTGATTACAGTGCCTATGCAGACGTTGTGACGTTGTTGTACATATTAGACGAATTACTAGTCAAATTATAAATATAAACGTGTGACCCTCTATTTGTAAGTCAAAGCCTTTAAATACATAATGAACAATGTTGAACATTGTAGCGCGATGTCGAGGTTGTTCGTGAGCGAAAATGCAATTGTTAAAAGTTCCATTGAAGTTTGTTCATAGTGTTCTTAAAATTAGAGCTGTAAATGTGCCTTGTAAAAATACGGTTTCAATTTTATAAGATTGAGTACTGTGACGCTAGCAAATTCTAAAATTATTAGATATCTTAGAAATGCTCAGAATAAAGAAATCATTTCGTGAGATTTAAAATCGTATAGCACAATATGAAAAGGAAAGATATCGTTATGTACGTAAGCGGGCAGCATGGGGACCACAGTTAAGCTCAATAGTACAAAACTATTATAAGAATAATGCCTTTTCTGACTCGGGTGCCTTTTGCCTTGTGTTTTTCCAACGAATTTTGATGAAGATAATTTTCTATCTACTTATACTCGAATTACTCGGAACAAATGTCTTATGCAACGAATACACGTAACATGGAGTGTTTCTATACTGCTTATCTATTGCGTCTCCTAAATACTTATACTTAATAGTTAGTTTCTATATACCTTATCTTGTTTTCGTTTCTTTAGCCATAACTTTGTAATTATAAATACTTGTTTTCTTTTTATTTTTTGAAGCCATTTTCCGTATAAAGTAGATCATGTCTGTAATTGATCCCAAACTCGTAAATGGCATTTAGACAAATGCCTACCGGTAGGTGTACATTGTAATATAATGTATCGTAAGTCTAGCAAGTAAATATTTATTGACTAAGGCCTGAAGATAATACCGATATCATAGAGATCGTAGTGCTCATTTAGTTGTATTAACTTATTATAAATTAGCTTATAGGTTGTCATTCTAAGATAATTTTATACCTTACACATGTCTAGGGATTCATTTAATGAAGCAGTAATTCGGTAAAATTATTAGATATTATTCAAAAGTGTGTACTACTTTTACTGAAATTGTACCTAAATGCGAAAACTATCAGTATGCAGCCATCATATATCCTGTATATTATAAGTATTACTTTGGTACTAAGTACTTAATATCCGCAGTTACAAACACTACTAACGAACGACTAAACATGGTCACATTTTGATTGACTTTTAATATTCAATAACGTTTTAATTGCTCCCCATAATTAAATAAGTATACGACATACTTTCCGATCACACATATCAGCAAGCGAAATAGCTTAATTAGTTACGCATTCGTTTAATCCAATGTCTATCCTATCTACAGACACAGCAGTATGTAGAATTACTTACGCTTCGAAGCTTCAAGATGTGACAAATTTTTATTATCAAAGTGTGGCCAATCCATTAAATAGGTTCGAAAAAAATATTTTATATAATTTGTTCTATCCATCTAGTCTCATGCGGAAATAATAAATGTATTGCATGCGTCATTGTTTCTTTTCCTTCATTTTTACCGATTAAATCGTAGCACAAATCTGTTTTACGCACAAAGAGTTTCATCTAATCATTTTATTCTTGTTCCCATTGAAGTTGTAAGTTAAATTTACTAAGTACTTATAGTTTAAGGACGAAGCATCGTGTGATAATAAGATGAATCATTATTTATAATCGGTTTGTTATCGTTTTTTCATACCGCCACGGATGTGTACGTATAATCCACGGAATGACGTTTTTCTGCTGAATAGATGGCGCTACTGAATCGTTGAGTCCTGTTCGTCTTTCGATCGATGTGAAATGTTTTGTAAACAAAGCAAGATGGGATTACATCTAGCTAAACCAAAACAGCACTTTTCTGTTTATCTCTTTGCTTATCATTCAGAACTATCACTAAATAGTCGGAATTTGAAGAAAACAGTTTGTAAGGCCTTATGCTTTATTTACAAAACATTTTACATCGAAACCACTGTTAAAAAATGTGGATGGACTAATGGTTTGATACTATATTTTGGGTTATCGCCGCTAGGAAGTATTAACTTACTATCAAAAGTATTATTGTACTCGACAGACGGCGTTAATGTAGCGTGAGCTCCCATTTTGTCCAATCATGGCAGCTGTCAAAAAATGCTTGTCCAATGGTATGAAACTAGGAAATTCTCTCTCTATGAAACTGACCTCAAGACACGTTAGCACCATCTACTGAGCACAAATTGTAGTAAAAATTGTGTAATCAAGAAGTTAACGAAACTTTCTAGTTAAGCTAAACACGAATTTAAATTTGAAATCATTTATTTTCGAATGTTATGTTTAAAGATACAGGTCTAAATATTTAAGCATAAATTGTGAAGATCCGAAATATTTACAAAATATGTTACATACCAATAATTCAATGTTCACACATCGTGCAAACCGTGGCGGATAACGTACGAAGCTACGTCAAAATATCAAATAAGTCCAATTTAGTATTAACTTCTTCACCTACTGAACAAATTTGTGCCTTTTCAGTCATTTACTTGCCTAAATTAAGACATAGGGTTACGCTTGTGATTCATATCTGTTATCTAAACAAAACTGTGGGAAGGCAGTATTAAAAACCTTACAAAAATCTTAGGCAATACATAATTATAATAAAATTAAGTGAATAATAAAAAAATAATGAAATAAAAGACATTATTTTAAATCATTTTCCAGCTGTTTTATTTAACATGTTCGTGCCTCTATTCGATTGTATTGTACATATATTACACTATCTACATAAATAATCAACAATTAGTGTCTATTCATACCCATAATAGGCGGCTTCTTTGAATGCTTTGAGCATATCATCTGAGTTCCTCCTTATCCTTCTTCCTATTGGTTCCAGGTCCTCATAGCACTTAGGGAAGACTTTCTCTATTATGTCTACAGCCTCTTTCATGCCAATTTGTCTGACAGCCAGCACAGAATATAGAGCCTTGGTCTTTACACAATCCTGATAAAGAAGTCTTTATTACAAGATTGTCATATTAAAATGTTAACGACTTATACAGACATTTGACTCGACTGCCTCGTTGGCCGAATGGTTGCAAGTGCGACTGCCGGGCAAGAGTCTCGGGCTCGATTCCCGGGTCGGGCAAAGTATTACTGGGTTTTTATAAATTCTCAGTAGTAGCACAGAGTCTGGAATTGTGCCTGGTATATGGCAATAGGCTCACCCCCTATTACAAGGGACTCATAACATAAATAGTGAAAAGTGGGTGTAACATTGTACAGTGGCATAAGGTACACCTCTGCCTACCCCTTCAGGGGTAAAAGGCGTGATGTTATGTATGTACAGACATTTGAAATTCATGTTATTATAGGAAACAATAGTTATTACCTGATGAGCCTTTTTAATTTTGCCCCACGAAGCATCTCCCTGTGACCAGGCGCTGGCAAATGAGCAATGTGTAAGGTTAGCTGCTCTAATCTCTGTGCAAGCTAGATGTTCCATATTCTTGAAGTCCAGTTGGTTGCGGCAGTAGTCAAACATGTGTATCATTTCATGAGCTAGTACTCCTTGCACCATTCCTTGTCGGGTTGAAACATTTTGGCAGACAACTATCTGAAATATTTAAAAAATACAAAATTATTTTTCAGATAACCCTTAATAACAACTTATAACTATATTTACTACTACACTACACTATACTTTGGTTAAACATTATATCTCTAAGTATAGTTTGACGGCATCATAACTAGTTTTAGTACTCTTGTTATGTCAAAGTAATCTTAATACTAATCTTACCTGATTTAATTCTGGGTCATAACCACCACTGACAGAGTAGTCACATATCTCACAGGATATATGTCGCCGAATATCTATAGGGCTGTAAAAATTAATAACATTGATAAGTAATTAATTTTTATTCATGATTTTATAAATAGTTTTAACATTATTTAATATATGCAATATTTACCATCCAGAACTTTTCAAAGCAGCCATCATCACCTTTACAATAGAACCTAAAAAGGAATAAAATGTAGTTTAGTTTAAGAACGCATTATGTAGGAAGATTACAGACTATTTTTACTACCTACTATTATTATGTAAAACCTTAAACTTACTGTTCTTAACACACTCATAGACGTGTTGTTCACACTTGAACTTATCAATGTTCTCTTTTCCTTCTTTACCAATTAGAATATTACTTAATTTCGGAGTAAAAGTGCCCCGTCTTTCAGGGTACAAATCGTAACCCCACGCTTCATCCTTCTTTGGTGCAGTCTCCGATTGGGCCTTACTAGTACTATCTGATGCAGGTTTTGCTTCTGCAGTCGATTTAATATTGTCTTCAGACATATTAAAAAGATTTCAGCCAATTATTGTAATGATGTTAGGTTATGTCCTCTTCTTTCGATAAGAATGAATGAAAACTTGTATTAATAAATAAAAATATAAATCCAAAGTATACTCAATCAAAAACGACGATGTTTATAAGAAATAAAAATGTATTTTTCATTGACATAATCTGTTAAATCATTTTATATTATGTACAAAACCCCAGTGTTATTATTGTGTAATTTGACAACTGACTGATGAATGAACTGACGTTTGACATACCTAACCGTCTGAAAAAAAGAAACTCGAAACACAAGTTTTTGAAAAAAAAACATTACACGACTTTTAGAACTCTACGAGGAAGCCGTATTATACAATAATATACAATAACTATTAACTGAAAATCACTGAACGTACGTTTTGACTAAGCTGTGCGACTAAATTCAATGCTTTGACTCCAGTATACTTTTGTGTAAGTAGATATCAGAAAAAAACATCAGGGTATTTCAAATACAAGATCTCGGGTTGTGAATTTATTTCTGCAAATAGGCTACAAGTCAGAACTTTTACACGTCAATTTTTATCAATTACCAGGTTCGATTACCAGCAGGGCTATTGGCTCAGGTCGTGGAACTACTTGTAGAACTAGAATTATTATGCCACTTACTTTGTACTGACTTCAGCACAAGAGGTGAAAATGAATTGAGTATACCTAAGTTGAATTTGTGCGGCTCTGCTTATTCCATTGCGTAGTTTTTCTTTTAAAGACGAATAATTTATTTAATTCGCTTATAAGTATCAAAGCCAGCAAAGCTACAGGAGAATAAATAAAATGCCAATATTATTTACTTAAGCTTGGAATTTATTTTCAACAAACTCCTATTTATACTTTCATTCCATTCAATGTGAACACATTTAGGTAGTTCAATTGTTTCATAGTTCAACTCCATTTCTCCTGAAAGGGATAATAATTTTATTAGAATAAACATTTTCTCAACAAATGTATTACGATATTCATAAACGCCGTTTAGAATTGTAATGATTATATATACAATTAATATTAACTATAACTTAATGAAAATATATACAACTTAAAATATAAATAACTATGAACTAAAATATTTACACCTTAAAAAAAAGGTAATAATAAATAAATAAGCTATAATAAGGCATCAAAAAAAAAAAAATTTTCCTCATCATTATCGTGAGGTAGGGTGCCCAAAAGACTGGCAGCATTACCACGTTGAATGGCAATGCTTAACCTTTGTCCAAGGTAGAAGCCAGCCCTTCGATCACCTGAAGTGTCAACCATCCTCTTTACAATATCTTTGTAAAGAAGATGTGCACTTGGGCCCCACGGCCCTAAAGTTTCAACCCCAAACGGTTCGAAAGCATAATTGCCAATCAGGCTATCATACTTTCGCCGTTTGAGGTTCTCGGCAGCAGCAGCGGCAGCACCGGCTCGACACGCTGAGTTTGGAAGATGGGATGGCGCCAGAGTATCAACGCAAGTGGCGTCCCATACTAAAGGCCTACCCATCTTCCAAGGGAATAATGACATACCGTCGGGTCTCTTGCCATCGTTGCGTACCAAGCCATTAGGTTCTAAAGTAGCTGGCACGCCAACGGAGACAAGAGCTCGACGAATGATGTCATTAATACTCGCGTGTCGAGCAAAACGACCCGCACTACGGCTACACGACAAGCCGTGGTGTCCAAGGCTGTTGACATCTTCACCACAACGACAACGATGAGGTGAACAAAATGAAGCCCCAAGCCTTAAACAAATTGCAGCGCGGAATGTGGTGTCGTCCAACAAAGTACCTAAGTTGGACGAAGGCAAAGCAAGAAGCCATAACCCTGACTCCCACTCACCCACAGCCAAAAGGCGAGCTCGCTCTGCAGTTGAACAAGCGGAGTTCAATAGATTTTCGCTCACTTTCCTGCAGAGCGGCTCGTCCCATTGTCTCTGGGAGAGTGATTTGACGGGGGGGTCAATATTTGGGCAAGCGATTTTCCAAGCTTTCACAGCTTCCACTAAAAATGGTACATCAAAATTAACCAGTGATTGAGAAAGAATTTTCCTGGTTAATTCTTCAGTACCATGGGCGGAAGATATGAAAGCAAATATCCGTTTAGAATTAATTCAGAAAAGATTCCTTTGGCATTTGACATATCAATGTCACATGACTAGTAAATGAGCCAGCAATAGCTCTCGTTTGAAGTACCTACCTATTTTAAAGTGATGAGTCTAGATAATCGCCGTAAAATCCTAGATCACCGCTTCCTGTACAAACTAATACACAATCACATTGACTGTCCGCAGTTACTTAGCCAGATTAAAAATTTTGAAAATCAAAAATTTTAATTTAACATGATGTCTTTTTTTTTGATAAGCGAACTTTTTGTTTTCTTTTTGTTGTAATATCCTATTTTTTTTTCATAATGCATGTCGTGGCAACCTTTAATTAAGGCTACATTAAAGAGTGTTAAAATATGTTAAAAACCTAATGTATTTTGATGTATGCTATGTTCGTTGACCTTAAATTAATAAATGTACCTTTTACCAAGACATATGCTTAATGTGCTCACCTAGGGTTTTTAAGAAACCATTAAAAGTGTCTTCATTTCTAATAACACTTGCAATATACACTTCCAATTTTCCATTCCTATTACAGAAGGTTCGAATGACATTGGATAATGGCTGCAATATTGAGGGGTCATATACTATATCTGCTCCAATCAAAACATCCGGGACCAAGTCTTCTGTTAAATCATCAATGGCATTCCAATCCAGTGGCAATACACCTTCAAAAACAGAAAAAAACATTTGTTAGCTAATTTTGTAGTTAAACCTAAAACATAACATAGAATCGCGCCTTTTATCTACAAAGGGATAGGCAGAGGTACACATTATGGCACTTGATGCCACTGTACAATGTAACACCCACTTTTCACTATTTATGTTATGAATCCCATGTAATAGGGGGTGAGCCTATTGCCATATTATACTGGGCACAATTCCAGACTTCATACTACTACTGACAAATTAAAAAAAAAACACAATATAACTTTGCCCGATTGGGGAATCAAACCTGAGACCAATTGCCTGGTAGTCCCACTTGTGAGCACTTGCCCAATGAGGCAGTCATAAACTTAAAACTAAACTAAAAATATAAAATAAACTTGTTTACCGAGTGATTTATCTTGATCGTTAAACCAAGTAAAATCCTTATCTTCTTCTTTTTGCAGATGTGGAAAGTTAATTTGTATATTATCACATATTGTCTTCAAAACATCATTATGACAGTCAGTAAGTACAATAGATTTGGTATAACAGTGCTTAGAAATTGTTATTCCTGTGAATCCTACTCCAGAACCCAATTCTAACACATTTTTATTTAAGAAAATGTTCTTGTTGCATATCGCCCAATCAGATAACATTAAAGCAGCCTGGAACAATGAACCATTAAAATATTTAAAAAAATATTTCAATTCAAATTAGAGTATGAATTATTGTGAAGTAGTCATACAAATAAGAGGTGAACCTTTGTTGGACTAATAACTTTGTTTTTATTAATAGAAATATAGATAATATTAAATCTACTTAAACTGTCAAACACCAAGCGGTCACCAGTGACCGCAACCTATTGTTCTATAATTGTGTCTATAACGACGGTACTCAACGAGTTAATTAATGTTAATAATAACAAACCTATTAAGTTCAAAATACCTCCCAAGTCTTCAACCCCGTTGTTCCATTGACCACCATATTCTTTGTTTCTTTTATAGTAACAACATTGTTTATATCATTTCCTATCAAATAATGCCGGTAACTAAAGCCATCTCTATCTATGTTATTCATACTGGTACATAAATGTTCATAGAGTTCATCATGGACCTCCTGGTTTTGTTCCAAATGCTGAATTATTTTTTTGAGAAACAAGCTGGCATATTTGCTACTTATTGGATACTCTTTTATTAATTTACTGTTCACTGTTGCATCTAAAAATTGTTGCTGCCAACTCCAGTCCATCTTTTCCACATCCTCTGGCTAAAATTTAAAATATATTTATATTGGTTAAAAACTAGATAATTCATTGACATCAAAATAATTAATGAAGTATTAATTCGTTTTTCTTACTAATAAAGTGAAGTTAAGATTCCCTTGATAAAAATATTGGATAAACTTTTTTACAGAAATTTTCTGACATTCTTCGAAATCAGTGGTCATCATTAACAGTGCAATTAATTACAACCGAGTAAGCTTTGTACTTAATTTATTAAAAAACTAATCCATCACCAATACATAAACTGAAAAAAATAAAAAATATGTGAAACCTTGAAAGAAAAGTTGCTATAAATTACAGATTTAGTCCATGAAGTAGGAAATGTCAATTTTCGAAGCTAGAGGTGCAGCATGAAGCATAGATAATTAGTCGAGTTTCAATGATAAATAACCAGTGTTGCTTGTAAAAAAAAAATATCCAATGTCATATGTAATGTCAGATGTTAATTCAAAATTTTGAGTAGTGCAGTTTTGCTTGTTTATTAAATTCAGTGATTAGTTAGAGATTTTCGTGTAGCTAGTAAATAAAACAAAATCATGGAATCTGTTACCCCTAGATTAAGGAAGCGCAAAGCTGTAGAATATATCGAAGACGATGATAATACTAGTGTTGAAGGAACTCCAAAAAAGAAAGTTAAAGCCGGCGCAAAAGCTTCGAAAGTTAAAGAAAAAGTTGAAAAACCTTCTAAACCTAAAGCAAGTACAAGTTCGAAAGGTATCAAGAAGAAGGAGGCCATAGAAACAAAGACATCACGGAGTAAAGTAACCAAAAAAGCTGTTGAGAAAGATGTAGATATGATTGATTTTAATATTAATAATGATCACATACACAATGTATGGGATGAAGCTGAAATGCTAGCACAAGTAGAGAAAATCCCCTTACATGTAGCAAAAAATTTAATAGGTCTGCTTACAGAAGGCTGCACCTTGCCATTTATTGCCAGATACAGAAAGACTGCAGTGGATAATTTAATGCCCGATCGGTAATTATTACAGCACATTTTGTTTTTCAGAATACTGGAATTCTTTTAATAATTTTTATATGAATCAAAGTGTCTTAGGTTTTATTTTCTACCCCAAAAGCCTAACTTAACTAATTTATTGGTATTTTATAGATACTGTTAATATTGTTAGTGATACTAGAAACTGGCTTTGTTACCGGTCAGAACCAAATGACAACCATAGGTACTTAATTATTTTCTCAGCAGTTAATTTATTTAAAACTGAATCAATCCTCTGAGATACAATCAGGATAATATGCAGGTTTAAACAAAAAACGATGTTTTGGTAATTTATTTAACTCGTTGAGTACTGTCATTAGACACAATTAAAGAACAACAGGTTGCGGTCACCTGTGACCGCTCGGTGTTTGACAGTTTAAATATAGTAATACTTAATTGTATTTAAATATATTGTTTCATTCTGAATATACAATTCCTAGCCTGCAAGAATTACATGAAAGTTATGAAAACATAACACATCTAAAGAAGAAAGTGAAGTCTGTTATTGAGACTTTGAAGAAATCTAAAAAGCTGACACCTGATATAGAAAAAGGTGTATTGAATGCCCGTAACTTGTCTGAACTTGATTTGATTGTAAGTTTTTATTTTATTTTTGTATAATTTCATCCATTGGTATCAGGGCTTCATTCATGCTTTTTGGGCTTCATTGAAATAACTTTTATTGACTATCATCGTAATATCAAAAGACACACAATCAAAACTTTTTGTTCATGTTTTGATGACTCTGACTAATAATCACTAATTTTTCTTTTACATATTATGTTAATACTGAAAATCCTCAAAATTTGTTCATACTAAAGTAGTCTAAACACGGGAAATAAGGTCTATAATGAAGTTGTTTGAGGTAGTCACAAGTGACCACTTGGAGATTGAACAGTTACCTATTTAATATACAACAGCCACATTCTATTTCAGTATGCACCACTTAAATCACATTCATTGTCACTTGCTGAAAGGGCCCGCAATCTTGGTTTGGATCCATACGCAGTAAGAGCATTGAATGGAGAGTATATTGACTTGAATACATTATGCAGTAGCAATGAAGAGCTGGCAACAGTTGACAAAGTAGAATCACATATAACTCATATTGTAGCTGATATTATCTATAAGGATACCAGGGTTTTAGAACATATTAGGGGCCTGTAAGTATTAACTAATACCCTATAATTAAACTGTTGAACATAGTAAAATGCCTTAACATGTATGCAGTGATTTCAAAAATTTAATAATTATATTTACTTAGGTACATAAAATATGAATTTTTCCCAAATAATTAACGATGGGTTAACTTCTCTTTAACTGTATTGCTTCCGAAAAGTCGTCATCATGAAAATAAATTTGAAAATAAATAAAATGGAAATAATCATCATTACATTTAATCTGGTGAAGCTAATTTACGTAAAATTATATTTTAGCAAAGAAGAAACAAGGTTTACGATAACAAGTAATAGAACTAAAAGTTCAACAAAGGATAAAGTAGATGATAAGAAGAAATTAGACAATAAGTCAGATCCTGATAACTATAAACTGTACTTTGACTGGAAGTGCCCCAGTCACTTTGTGAAGCCACATCAAACCTTAGCACTGAACAGAGGGGAGGATGAGAAAATATTATCAGTTAAAGTTATTGTTCCTGATTGGTTTTATAACAGACTTGAAAGGTAAATAGTTTAATACTTCTTTTAATTTTTAAAAGAAAGATAAAAAAAA